TCCTAGAGAGTAGGGGTAGGGGTGCTGGAATAGTAAATACATAAATACATCATAGGCAGGCAGTAAGCACAGTGTCGGAGGATAGAGAGTGACAGAGTATGAGACAGAGTCTTTTTTGATAAGGAAGCAGGAACCTGAACACGGTAGGAGCAAGCTATGACACAAAGGGACAGTGCATTTTAGGCAAAAGGAAGAGTTAGTACACCAGTCCTGAGGTAGGATTATGCCGGTGGGGATGGAGTGAGCAAGGTGCTGGGATATGGAGGAATTGACTTCAGAGAGGCAGCCTGGGCAAGAAAGGGAAAAATGAGAATAGAAACAGAAGCTAAAGTCAGAGATGATGCCTTGTACATAATGGAGGTAACATTTTTTAAAAGATTTTTAAAATTTATTTATTCATGAGAGACACACACACACACACACAGAGTGAGAAAGAGAGAGAGAGAGAGGCAGAGACACAGGCAGAGGGAAAAGCAGGCTCTGTGCAGGGAGCCTGACATGGGACTCGATTCCAGGTCTCCAGGGTCACGCCCTTGGCTGAAGGCGCCTGAAGGTAACATTTAAATAAGCAGGTTGGACTCAAATCTATGAGGCTTCTCTCAGGAACTTGTGTGCAATAGATTCTACAGGTTAGACAATCAGGGTCAGCATTGGGGTGTCATCAGTGGGGATGAAGATGAGAATGGAAGTCTTGGTTGATTGGACCTAAGGGTGAAGGAGAGGGTGACCCAAAGACCATCTTAGAGTCTTGAGTCTTGCTGATTGGAAGAACTCTGTGGTGGCATCATTGAGAAGAAAGCTAACGGGCAACCAGAAGACAACGAGCAACATGTCCAATAAACTTGGGGTGAGCTGGTAGCAGCATGTCCCAGTGGACATTTTCAATGAAAGCTAAGACCAGTAATTTAAAGAGTCTGGCAATGAAAGGAAGAGAGAAAGAGCACATCACTTAGGGAAGGCAGTGGGATTCAGCAAATACATTTCTCAGGTTGTGATGGAGTCAATACAGGATCGCAAAAAGGGTGTAGAGAAAGGAGCTATTGGAGATGAATAAATGCCGGAAAACATCTTTTGGAAATTGGGGGAAAAAAAAATCTAGGATTCTGTGCTGTGAGTGGGTGGGTTATAGGATTTTAAATAAGATTAATTTCGCTTATAGGATCTGGGATTTCTAGATGTGTTCATTCTGTTGAATACTTGACAAACAGTAATCCAATACCAAAAATTCCTTTCGGTTTAATTTCAGGATCTCAGGAGTGTAGGAACGAAGTTTGTCAATAATTAGCCACATCCAAGCAAATAGAGGACAAATAATTTTATAAAACCAAACCAAACCAAAAATGAGGTTGGTGAGAGGCTGGAGTAATACAGAGAAGATAGAGGAGATTGCAGGCTACATGGGGCTCTGTGAGTTTCTGAGATCCAAAGTTATTTATTTCTTTACTCAACAAATATTTGTTGATCACCCATAGTGTTATGGTCACTGTGCTGGTCCCGAGAATGGTGGAAAGATTCAGAGAAATATGATCCTGCTCTCATGAAGCTTCAGTCTAAAGAAGAAAGCAGATATTAAACAAAAAGCTATATAATTGATTCTAAATATCTTAGCATTGTGATGAGTGCTATAAAGTAGAGCATAAAAGAGTGGCCATTAGCTTCAGTTTCATCCTCTCTTCTTCAGAGTGTGACAGTGATCTCAAGTACATTGTCTGCTATAAAATTAAAGTAATTGTGTTATTTCTCATTCAAATCGATCCCCTGGTGTGAACAATTATGCTGGGATAACAGGCACAAAACAGGACCACTGGTCACTGTCTTAAAGGGGCACTTGGGAGACCATCCAAAGTAAAAAAAAAAAAAAAAAGTGATGTGAAGGAGAATGATAAATATGCCTGGTATGTGAACAGTGTTTTTCCTGTGATGAATCAAAGGGTAAAGAGAAGAATTATTTAGAGAAGTCCAATGGGGTGTAATTAAGACTAGTAGCATAAAGGTAAACAAAGGAATAATTGAGCTAAGTAAAGTACCAGGAAAAATTTCTAATAGCCAAGACTGATTATAAAAGATACTCCTAGGGAAGGGTATTTTAGCCAATATGAGCTGAAATATTGAAAATTAAAATGGGGAATGTGTATGTGTATATACGAGAAGAAATAGGCCTTCACCAGGATAAGATCATTGAACTGGAAAATCTTTTCTACCTCTAGCTCTTTTTTTTAAATTTTTTTTATTTTTTTATTTTTTTTTACCTCTAGCTCTTAATATCTCAAAAAGTTCTGAACTTTTATTTTTTACTCAGTTATTTTTATTTATCTTTATATTTATTTATTTATTTATTTATTTATTTATTTATTTATTTATTTTTTAGGGCAAAGAGCCTGTCTTAGTGATTGTGGTCACTAAGCACACTAGAGGCACCGAAAATCCTGAGACCAAACATTGGTGCGGCTCCGATCATATCCCAGTTTTCATCTGTCCACTTTGTTTCTGACTTAAAAAAAAAAGCAGAGACTGCGGCTTAAAAGCCCAAGAGTTCTTTCTTAACATATTAACTTACAAAAGACATAAATTAAATGAATGTCTTCATTGGGTGCCAGAAAAAGACCCATCTGAGCTGTCCTATCTCTAACTGTATACCTTAAAAAGCAAGGAAAACTGGTTCTCTCTGGGTTAGGAGAGGCAGGAAGGAAGAATTATATAATCCTCCTAATTTGGAAAGAACCAAAATTCATCTGGTGTTAGATATCTGGATCCTCGTCTCAGTTACTCGGTTAGTAGAAAGCTGGCCTCCGCCGTGCTGGCAGGAGTTGGCCGCCAAACTAAGCGGTGCTGGCGGCTGGGTGTTAAGTGCTCTGTCCACTTTGGGGGACAGGGAGTAGAGGATGCTGAAGGCTGAAGTCCTGACGTCAGATGAAGCATCTGATCCTTCAAGACCCCCTGGCATTTGCTGTTTGAGTTGTCAGCTGGGTTTCAGGTCAGATAATTACATTTTGCTTGTCCAGTGCCCCTGGCCATTTCAAGTAGAGGCTTCGTTTCCCATCAGAAATTGCTCCTCACGTGATGCTGAGCCTAATTACACAACTGCTGTGGTGGTCCACAGGTAGCCTGGCCTCGGTGGTCATGGAGGGATCCCTCTACAGGCCCACGCCAGGCACATTCAGCCCAGGCTTGAATTCTTTCCAAGAAGTTTCATCTAAGAGCCTCGGTAAAGAAAACCAGTCTATCTGTGAGAAAGAAAGATGAGTTTAGAAATGAAAGAAGCCACGTTGGGTTTTGGGTATTTGTTTTAGTAGGCTGGATTTCTAGACAGCTCTTCAGTGTGTATTCCAATGGGCCAGTTTAGTCTGGGCTGTCTGTGCTCGCTCCTTTTTATAAGAATCTTGGGATCGATTGGTTTGGGTAGAAAACGTGAGTGATGCGGAGGAGGTCTCAGATAACTCATTGACCTTCATTCTAAGGATTTGGCCAAATGTGGATGATTAAATGGTCAGAGAATCCTCAGACACATTTCCTTTATTTTACATTTACTGAAAATGTTCTCATCTGAACACTTTAATTAGATGAAAGTAAGTTTTAGAGTCCAGATGTAAGCTGTCCAAGGAAAGTACTGAACTAAAGGCCAATAGCTCATCTCAGAACTTTTATTATTCTTTGAAATGGATTCAGTTATGAGTTTTTCTATGGGCATAATTCTACCTTAGAAAATTTCTAATAAAAAAATAAAAGTCATTTTGGTCCTCTTTAATCTAGCATAATAAATAGAATGAATTCTTTTCAGGGGATATATTCTAGTCAATGCAATATATACATATTATTCAACAATATGTTAAAATGCCAACTTTATAAATTAAAGTTGCAGAGAGGATATTGTGATCGTCAAAAAAAAAGTAGAACATTAAATTTTTGTGATTTTTACCTATTTAAAAAGATATCATAAAGGATATATATTAGGAGAAGGAGAAAAATCTGATAAATTTTGGAGCTTTTTCTGTACTGGTTCACATAGATATACTCACTATCCTTTAATGATTTTCATTGTAATATACTCTGTAGAGTATATTAAAAGAAAAAGCCTTTAATTGTTGGTAATTTGCGCGGTCTTCTTTTATTGTAATGAGAACAATATTGACATATTGTAATGTCATATTATTGACGATTTCAAAATATCAGATAATTACAAAATGCTATCATTGCTGAAATGGTCAGTAAATACATTTTTTTTTTTATACTGGAAAAATGGCCTTATTTTGGTTTTCTAGGGACTGCCAAAGGAAGAAGTGGAGCTTCTTTGTTTTGGAGTTTTCTGCAATTTTATTTAATTTGTTTAAAGAGAAGAGTAATGCAAGTGTTCATTTATATGCTAAGATATACTCCAATAAAAAGTTTTAGAGAGAAAAAACCCCAACATGGTTCACCTGTTGTGCTCATTGAAGGGAAAACCTCACAAAATATCAGCAGCAACATGTTGTCTTATCAGCTTTCCCTCATCCTGACCACTGATCTCCATTTCTGTTTTCCAGACAGCTTCAGAAGAAAAGCTGGGCTGGGTGGTGCAGCGGTTTGGCGCCTGCCTTTGGCTCAGGGCGCGATCCTGGAGACCCGGGATCAAGTCCCACGTCGGGCTCCCGGTGCATGGAGCCTGTTTCTCCCTCTGCCTGTGTCTCTGCCTCTCTCTCTCTCTCTGTATGACTATCATAAATAAATAAATTTAAAAAAAAATAAATAAATAAAATGTACAATTTTCTCTTGAGATGGCAAAGCTCTTTTGTGATAAATTGGAGTCTTACCATCTGAGAAAGGAATCTTACCAACAACTTGTTAGTCCATAAAAATATTTCTCATGTTGACACTTGTCAGTTATCCATATGTCAGTCATATGAAATAATTTTTTCATCTTCGGGTGACACCTTTTCTGTCATAGTATCTTTCACATTTCGAGACTCTTATCATCCCAGTTTTGTTTATGTGGTTTTTATACATTTATCTCCTTTCTGTTCCAGAAAACCACTGATATAGCTATTATGGACACTGAAAATAAAACAAGATAAAATGAAAAACACATTATAGAAATGAAGACAATGGACTCAAAGAAAATGGGAATAGGAACAAAATGAAAATGTCAGGAAGATGTGACTGAGTAAGTTCTTTTTTTTTTCTCTCTGAGTAAGTTCTTAAAGGTTTTTTTCACTGTTTCAAGAGGGCTATGAGTTTGGCTGTGCATTTTTCAGTAGGTAATATAAGGATGTATTTATTATAATTCAATATATAATATTCCTATAATCCGTATACTATCCATATGGTATAAGGATATATTCATCAATATAATCATTTGCTTAGAAGAAACTCAATTAGTCCTGATGCTAAGACCAACAGTGATATATGAGTTTTTATAAAGAAGAAATGGCAATTTAATGAGTAATGTTCTTGCAGCATCCTTATCTGCTATGGGCCAGAATATGATTATGGACTGGCTAGTTAGACCCAGAGTTGGATCCAGGCTCTGTACTTTAAGGATAGCTATGTGGCCTCAGGAAACTTATTTAATTTATTTAAGTTCCACATTTAGCATTTGCAAAGTGTGTCCACCTCGTAGCCTAAGGTGAGGAATAAATAAGACAATGCACATAAAATGCCCAGCACAACTGGCATGTGGAAAGTGGTCAATAAATATTAGATCTTCCTAATCTGTTGTTACTTGGGGAATGCAAAGACACTTCAGTGTTAGGTCAGATAACTATGGTTACAAAGATAATTTGATGTAGGAATAAATGAAGCATAGTGGTCCTGAACGCATGTTTCAACACACGCACATACATGCACACACACGCACACAGTTTAGACTTTTATCTGTTTCTTGGCTCCTTTCTATATAGTAATTTTAGCCTTAGCATCTGGCATATGTTGAAGCAAGTTTAGCATTTTGTCTTACAAACTCCCAGGTTGGTTATGAGAATGAAAATTTGCAAAATAGCTGGCTCTGTCGAGTGCTGAGAATGGACTCAAGGAGTTCCCAAAGTCAGCAAAGATGTGGATCAGGAGATAATTCAGACCAGCTAAGTAGACAATAAATGAATCCTTTTATTGTTTTTTTTCCCCTTTCTACAAATCATTTCCTCATTTTAAGTAAAGGAGGAAATAGAAGGCTGAGAACTTTGGCTGGAAATGGCTTTTTCAAAGCATTTCTCACAAGTGAGAAAAGGAACTGGGGGTTGCCAGCTTCTGTAGGAAGAGCTATGTATCCACTACCACACAGAGATGAAAGAGCCACATTTTCCTAAGTATTTTTCTGTGATTGGAGTTACAAAGAGTGATGAATTTAAAAGGTCAGCAGTTGATGCTTGTTTTTAGTGTAGTTCTGGCTGGGAAATGATATGCTCAGAGAATGGAACTCTGACAAGTGAATCCTACGTCTTCTAGAGAAATAACTTAAATCAGAGCAAAAAAAATATTGGATGGATGGAAGAGATGATGGATCCATTGGGTTTACTGAACAATCAGTTTGGTACATCAAATTTTGCTAATCTATTATAATCAATCTCTCAAGTAGATTTTAACTTCTGAAACAGTGTAACAGGAGTAGTTGTCTTAATTTTCTTTCTTTTCTCAGAGCGAGAAATAATATAAAAACTGTTTCATGTATTTCTCTTCCCTTTATTTTGCTCATGTCAGATGTATTATTCCATATGCTATATGATATTTACTTTAGTCACATCCTTAGATCTTTCTACAGTTTTTTAAAAAAAGATTTTATTTATTTACTCATGAGAGACACACAGAGAGAGAGGCAGAGACACAGGCAGAGGGAGAAGCAGGCTCCCTGTGGGAGCCCGATGGGGGACTCGATCCCAGGACCCCCAGGATCACCCCCTGAGCCAAAGGCAGACACTCAACTGCTGAGCCCCCCCGGGCGTCCCTCTTTTTACGGTTTAAAGAGCTTTTTGCTCCCAAAGGATCCTACCCCTTTTCCCGTTTTTCCTGTCTGAAGAAGAGAACATGACACAGTGAAGAGACCACTGTCTTGAATTAAGAGAACTTAAATCCTTCTTCTAGCTATATAACTAGCTAATAATAGGATATTGCCAAGTAATGTATCTTCAATTGACTGATATTTCCTCCTCTCAACAAAGTTAGTCATTATGCTTCTTAAACTTTTTTTTTTTTATCAGTAGAAACATTTCTTGAAATAGAAAAATTTCTCACCAACCCAATATGTAAATTAGGTGAAGGCTGAATCCTCTTATTGAAATCAGATGTCTTCCTCTTCTTCCAGCCTCTCCTTCCTCTTGCCTTTTGGTGCGTTCCCTAAAGTATCTGCAATGAACCTCGAGGGCAGTGTTTCTCAAAGCACAGTCCACGGAACACTGGTGGTCCCTGATGGTTTATGGGTGATTCATAGGAGTTTAGGCAATTCAGAAGAAGAACATGAAATATTTGCTCGCATACATTTCATAAATTTGAAGTAAAACAATAATAATGATTTTCATAACAGAAATTTCTTTATGTTCTGAATAATCATTATGTTTTCTAGAATTGTATATGTGCCACAAGCAATGAATTAGTCTATTTAAATAACTTATATCATATCATTTGTATATTATTCTTTGCTTATTAATAATCCTATTATTTTTGTTGTTGAGACCATAGTGCTAAGTATATCCTGAATTCACAAGATGGATCAACAATTAAAATATACTTTGCTGAAGTATTAAATTAATGACAAGTTTTTTTTTTTTTTTTTTTGAGAACCTATTTTTATTCCCAGTTGAGACCCTGAGTCTCTTCTCTCCATGTAGAGGGGAACAGCAGTGTCAGGGCACAATGAGGTCAGTATCTGCTCCTCACCAAACCACCCCCACCTGCTTCTCCCTCTGCCTGTGTCTCTGCCTCTCTTTCTGTGTCTTTCATGAATAAATAAATAAAAATCTTTTAAAAAGATTAATAACAAAACGATAGTATAATTGCTGTAATTAAAAATATTTTATGATCATTAACTCCTTATAATCATGAAATTACAGTTTCATCACGGAATGTGAATCTTTTGCTACTGGGACAAGAGAAATTACAATAATGATGATTTGTAAGGATATCCAAAGAGCAAACTAATTAGGAGACCTGCTCATGAATATTTGAAAATCAGACTTCATTAGATCAATGGGCCTTTTGACCCTGGTCTCTTGTGTGTTATAGAGCCTTTTCAAATAGTGGAAAGAACCCACAGAGTTTTATATAATTTTCAAAATTAGGCAGCAGAATCTCTGACCAGTGCATTATTTCTATAAAAAGGAAAAAATTTAAAAAATTGCATTGTCCCCCAAATAAATAATAGGCTAAAAGTGGATTTAAATTTTTAGTTCATATGTTAGAAACATGTAAGGTATTTTCTAGGTGAAAAGATTGTGAAATCATTCTCAGACTTAGTAATAGTATCATTCTTGGAGAGAAATCATAATAAACATTTCACAATACTATTTTTTTCACAATACTATTTTATCACATAATGTCAGGGACATGCTCTGAAAGAGATATTAATACTAAATATATATCTATAAGAGGAGGCATTTGCTTTAAATTGGATACCAGAATTAATATGCAGATTATGAATCAGTTTTGAGTATAGGCACATTTTGGAGATATTGCAGGTTTGTTTCCAGACCACCATAATAAAGTAAATATCCAATAAAGCGAGTCAGATAAATTTTTTGCTTTCCTGTATATATAAAAGTTATTTTTATACTCTGCTATATCTATTAAGTGTGCAATAGCGTATGTCTAACAAAAATGTGCGTACCTTAATTAACAAACACTTTACTGCCAAAAAAAGTGCTAACGTCATCTGAGCTGTCAGCGAATTGTAATCTCTGCTGGTAGAGGATGTTGCTTCAGTGTTGATGGCTGCTGACTCATCAGGATGGTGGTTGCTGAAGATTGGGGTGGTTGTGACAACTCCTTCAAATAAGACAATAATGAAGTTTTTTGCACGGATTGGTTCTTCCTTTCTCTGTGGCCTGTGATGCTATTTGATAGCATTTTGCCCACAGTAGAATTTCTTACCAAATTGGAGTCAATCTTCTCCCCTACTGCTGCTTTATCAACTAAGCTTATGTAATATCCTGAATCCTTTGATGTCATTTCAACGATCTTTGCAGCATCTTCACCAGGAGTGGATTCCATCTCAAGAAACTACCTTTGTTGCTCATCCATAAGAGGCAGCTCCCCATTACTTCAAGTTTGATTATGAGATAGTAGCAATTCAGTCACATGTTAGGCTCTATTTCTAATTCTAGTTCTCTTACTATTTCTACGACATCTGTAGTTACTTTCTCCACTGAATTCTTGACCCTCTCAAAGTCATCCATGAGGATTGGAATCAACTTCTTCCACACCCCAGTTAATGCTGATATTTTGACCTTTTCCACAAATCACAAATATTCTAAATGACATCTGGGAATGGTGAATCCTTTCCAGAAGGTTGTCAGTGGACTTTGCCCAGATCCATCAGAGGAATTACTATCTGTGGCAGCTCTAGCTTTACAAAATGCATTTCTTAAATAATAAGACTTGAAGGCCAAAATGACTCCTTGATCCATGGACGTTGTGTTAGCAGGCATGAAAACATTAATTTCATTGTTCATCTCCATCAAGCTCTTGGGTGACCAGGTGCATTGTCAATGAACAATTTTATTTTGAAAAGAATCTTCTTCTTCTTTTTTTTTTTTAAGATTTTATGTATTTATTCATGAGACACACACACACAGAGAGAGAGAGAGAGAGAGAGAGAGAGAGAGAGGGGGGCAGAGACACAGGCAACGGGAGAAGCAGGTTCCAAGCAGGGAGCCGACGTGGAACTTGATCCTGGGTCTCCAGGATCAGGCCCTGGGCTGAAGGCGGTGCTAAACTGCTGAGCCACAGGGGCTGCCCAAGAATCTTCTTTTTTGAATAGTAGTTCTGAATAGTGGCCTTAAAATATTCAATAAACATTTTGTAAACAGATATGCTACCATCCAGGCTTTGCTGTTCCACTTATAGAGCACAAGTGGAATAGATTCCTCATAATTCTTAAAGGCCCTAGGATTTTCAGACTGGAAACTGAGCACTATCTCCAATTTAAAGTCACCAGCCTCATTATCTTCTAAGAAG